CCATAGATTTTAAAGTTTTTGTTTGATCGCATTATGAAATTTGTTTGAGACATAATTGGAAACATTTTTTCTATGTTCTATATACCTCTGATTGTTATGGAAGAGTATGGGATATGGTGTAGACGTCCACTGGGATGGCTTAAAAGAGGAATATATACGAATTGTGGAATTCGCAGGCGCAAATTTATTCAGCCTAAAAGGGTATAAAAAGATATTTATCTAGATTTTGTATGACAGCTATAGTGGTCCGATCTAAACAGATTGCTCAGAGATTATAGGATTAAACAATAATCTATGCCACATATTGTGAAGATATCTCGTCGGTCTGTTTATATGACAGCTATATCATGTAGTGGTCCGAAATTGGCCATATCGACAAATGAGCAGCGTCTTTGCGATAGACTAGTCAACTTGATCATTTATATATATCCTTTATAGGGTCTCCGACGTTTCCTTCTGATTATTACAAACTTCGTGATAATACTTATAACACTCTGTTCAGGGCATACAAATAAATGCATATTAAAAAATATTTGAAAACTACTTTTTTTTTTTTTGAAAATATATAAGTACAAAGTCTTAAATTCGAAATTTTATTAGTTTGATTAGCTCCAACAAAAGATGAGTTTTACTAGCTTCCAACTATTTCTGAAAGAATATGTTTTTTTTAAACTTTTTCATATCAGAGCTATACTCGCAGGTTTGCATTCAGTTTTGAGAATGTAGGACAATTAGCAAAGAATTTTGGCCCTCAAAGGTATTATTAGAACAATCCCTTATCTTTAGACGCAACAATTTCGAAATATTTGTGGAATTTGAGAGCAAGCATTTTTTTATTCACTCGCACTGATAGCCCTTATCGTTATTGTGGTATATGTATAGGTATATATTTATATTTCAAAATCACTATATATTCATTTACAAAAATGCGCCTTTGCTTATAAAACTAAGTAAATGTTGCCAGTGAGTTGTTGTTGCTACAACGGCGACCGTTAAATTTAATTGCGGTTGCTGTTATTAGTTTCGAACGAGTTGATGCGCCTCATTTAAATAATTTTTTATAATTTTGTTTTTTGTTTTTAATTGTGTCTGGTGGCAACAGTGTAAGCTGCGCATATTGCACTCATACATACTTACATATGTGTATGAAATGTCTATATATACAAACTGACACATTTAATGTACATATGTATGTATGTATGTGCAGCTATCTTTGAGCTACTTTATTTGCAATTGTGTTATCAGCTGAATTATAAACTTGTTTACAAATGCTATTCAACATGTCACAACTTTATAACGAGCCTTCGCAATTTTTGAACGAGTTTTTATTGCACATTTTGTTGATGTTGTTGTTGTCTACTTGGCACACACATCTCTTGGTGGATTTGCTGCAAAGATTGTCATCTTTGTTGTTGTTGCTGTAATGCATTAAGTGATGTTCTCGCATTCTGGTATTTTATATTATTATTTTTTGATCGCATGTCGGCCGCAGTTGTGCACACCCTATACACTTTCACATGTGTGTATGTATGACAGGTTCATATATACATATGTATGTCTAATACTAAGTTTTGCTGATTATGCAATGTTCTTAGAACACAAGCATGTACATACACGAGTTTGTAAATACAGTTATTCTATATATGTGATGCCATGATGCCTGGAGATTAAAAGAGTTTATTTGCTGGATGTTTTACATCATTGTTTATATGTACATACAGAAAAATGTATTTGAAAATGCACCATATCTCTGGCTGTTCAAATTATATAATATTATATAATCAAAGTGCTGTTGTCATGTCAGCAGAGAACGTTACAATTTGTATAAGTAGATACATACCAACAACATATCGTCACTTTAAATGTAAAATAAGGTAGTTTCACTTTTCATAAATTTACGATACAGCAATAAAAATATGAAATAGAGCATACTCATATTGAAATTAAATTTGAATTTTGGTTATAACTTGTTTATACCATCGGAACAAATTCGACTCGGACTGGACCACTTCAACTGCGCGCGCAAACTGGTTAGGTTAGGTAAGGTTAAGAGGGCGATCCTAACAGGAATCTCACTTGAACAGCTTAGAATTCTTATTTAATGGATCGTAAGACCTTAATAATAGTAATAACTCCTACGACTGCGGCAAGATGAACTTTGCTAAGTGCAAGTTTTTCAGTAGATCTCCTGTGTTCTACTCTAAGTTCAATACGATCTTGCAGTAGTATAGCAGCGGGTCGTCGACAAGCACCTGCTAAGCGCACGCGAGGTCCATTCGTTCAGTGCTAGAATGCAAGATACTAGTTGGTACAACCTATTAATATGTTTGTGTGAAGTTTGATCTTCATGACGTCAATATATGTATGAGTATTTGACAGCAGTTTGTTTATGACGCGAAAGCTTTTTCTGGCGATTTTTACCATCGAAATTTTTTTTTTGAAATTTTGTTTCCAATGAAATCACGGCGAAAAAATCGTTGAAAATGTTGCAAAAGCGTTTTAGAGAGTCTATGTACTTTGCCACGAATATAAGTATTTAAATGGCACAAAGTATTCAATGAAGGTTGTGAATTCATCGAAAACTTTCCTCAAGCGAGTGGTTCATATATACCTCTGTTAATGAAGATAACATCGAAAAACTTAAAGACAGAGTATTTCCAAATCGTCATTTTGACATCAGAGAACTAGCAGAAGACCTCAACATCTCTTAAGGCGAGACTTAACATATTTTGGTTAATGTTTTGGGTAAGAAGCGTGTCAATGCTAGTCTCGTATCAAAAGAACTGAATCTTGTTCAAAGACGACGTCGACAAAGCCTGAGAACTCCACATTTACTCTCATTTCTACAAAAATGTTGTACTAAAACACATGAAAATGTGGTGTTTTTTTTTATCAGTCTGGGTCAAATTTGATCAGATGGTATAATACTTAGCATATTGAAGTTTTTCATGATTCTTTGAACCAAAAATCAAGAAACAGTCAATTATGTAATGCAAAGTTAATACAGGGGCTCAAAAAGAACCAACTAATAGGTAACTAAACTCTGCTTTGCCTAAGCCATTAACTAAAACCGCAAAGCAGATTACACAACCATTTTACTAGTACTTGAAGACCATTTGATACAGAAGTAGTGATTATTTATGTAAACTGACAGGAACTAGATCTGTGTGTCAGTTACAATACAAACATTACTACTTGCCACATATATACATACCTACCACATGCCACTTGATACTCCTACAAGAGTGCCTACAATTTACACACACAAACACATATGGCTACATATGCATGTATGCGTAATTCCTACTTGTGTAATGCAATTTTTCATTTGACACATCGTTAACAATTGGTGGCAAATTGCTGACAATTGCACGCGGCTCGAGTGCGGAAAATCTAGTTTAGTAGAATAATTTGTATTGCCCTGCACATACATACACACACATATACATACAGCCATAGAGCTTGCCCACAATACACTTTCAATTGTTGCACTGTGCGGTGATTGAGCGTGTGCGTTGTGTGCCAGTGGCAGTGGCACTAGTGACGCACTTGCAACATTTTCAACATTTGTCACATTCGCAACATTTTGCGTTGGTGTTGCTGCAGTTCGACTAGCCGAGGAGTATTATGTCAATTGCTGTTGTTTGTATTCTGTGGCACATAAATAAATTGAAACGTGGCAGGCTGGCTAACAATTCATCTCAAGTGATGGACGGCTGAATTGATTATAATGAATGTGAGAATGACAGCCGACAATTGAGCAAGTGAGTGAGTGATTGAGTGAAATACATTTGTGTGTGCATGTATATGTGTAATAGGTGTGTACACATGTGTGCAAACAAAGCTAATGAAATTGAAAATGAAAAGTGATGAAAATTGAAATTAGAATAAATGATGGTATGTAATAAATTAATGTATACATATACATATATACATACATATGTATGTATTTAGGTGAGTTAATGAATGATAGACAGCAAGAATAAGTGACTTGTGTGGCATGTTAAAGCGATGCATGTGCTCCTTTGCAACAGTCTTGCATATCAATATATACCATATATAATATATAATACGTGTAGGCCTTGATAAGTCAGTACTATTATGGTTTTTCCTCATAGAAACTTGAAATGCTACTCTGAGCCTTTTTTTAAGGCTAATTGATAACCTTTTAATATTTAAAAAAATTGCGGAAACCATTACGCATCACTATTTGCGTACAAAACAAGAAAAAACGTTATTTTCGAAGCTATAATATCCTTCACAGGTGAAAAATAAGTTTCGGGGATTGTAACGTTGCCTTGGACAATAATCCATATCAAATATTGTGACCATAGTTTGTCAAATAAAAAGTTTTTCATGCAAGAGTTTGATTTTGATCAGTCTGTTTGTATGACAGCTATATGCTATAGTGGTCCAATCTGAACAATATTTTCAAAATTTTTTAGCATCATCTTCAATAATAATTCAAGCTAAATTTCGTTGAGATATCTTGTCAAATAAAAAAGTTTGTCATACAAGGACTTGATTTTGATCGATCGCTTTGTATGACAGCTATTTGCTATAGTGGTCTATTATCGGCGGTTCCGACAAATAAGCAGCTTCTTGAAGAGAGAAGGACATGCGCAAAATTTTAGAACGCTATCTCAAAAAGTGTCACGCTTGTCACGCTGACCTCCTTCTGGGGTATATTTATCACTGAAACTGAGAAATTGCTCTACCACAGGGGATTTCCAATGTTCAGCTTGCATAAATAAGTCAATTCAAGCTTCGGCAAAAAAGTATTTATCTGCTCAACAAGCGGATTTTAGCTCGATACTGTTTTTATACAATTTTTCCATATACCATACCATAATGCCAGATTGCGTTTAACAAACCATAGGAAATTTGGACTTTTCAAAATATTACGAAGACCAACAAACTGTCCTCGTACGTACATAACTTTAGTTTATAACATGATATTCTATTTATATATGGAATGTTTATCAAGTGTTGGTAATTACCTTATTTGCATAAAAAACACTTCATCACTAATGGTGTTTTTATTGTTATCATTGTTGTAGTGTTGTGGCACAATTGTTGTTAATTTAACTGAAATATAATAAAAGAAAACACTGATTAGTTTCAATTGGTATTGTATAATAGAATTTAAGTACTTATGTAAGATAAGTTTTGTATACCTTTTCTAAACATTTATGTCACACTAGGTATATAAAGAGCTAAAAAAAGGCTTAAAGTTTGTTGGGGGTATAAAATAAAAATCAGAAAATTATATTTCCCTGGTAACAAAATGTTATATCAGTTCGAGTACTTAATACTTGGAACAACTTCTTAATCTAATTTATTAACGAAAGCACTTTTTAAACTAAAAACAATTTTTATTTTATTTGCATATTTAATTTTCACACAAAAACATATTTGCAATTTCCCTAATAGTTATAGAAAAAGAAATAAATGGAGCATTTATTTTTAAAAATCTTGTACTTGCATGCAACACTGCAACATGTATGTAAACGCCTTCACCGGACAAACATAAAATAGATGAGCTGTCTGAGTGTGGGGAAAAACTGGGTCAACGAAATTTAAAAATAGGAAATTACTGTTGGCAAGCGCCTAAAGCATTTACAAGGCAATTTAAATATTTTGGTGATATAAAAACACAAATTAATTAAGAAAATGCATTAAAAAGTGCAGTGGAAAGTTTATTTTTGGGGTGAAATATAGGTGAGCTCCAAATTAATGCTTTAAATACAAGGGCACCATAAAATATGATATTTTTTATACTTTGTTCTATTTTGTATTGAAATGTGAAAGAATAGTACAGAAGGATTATTTGTGAAAAATATCAGTTCAGGTTTTTTACTGCTTATTCATATTATATAACCTGGCGAAATAGCCAAAATTGATATCAGCCACCCCAACTACAAATTTTGGGGTAGGCTCAAAGCGGTTTGTCTATATTTGAGAGTCAAACAAATCTTAGGAGTATTAAGGTAACACAAAGTAAGTATTCTCAGATGTACATATCATGTAGTATTTAAAAAGTTTCAAAAAGGTGTTCTTCAAGACTAAATGTAATCTAACTAAATTAAGGTTAGGTAGGTTAGACTAAATGTTCACCGAGAACATTTAATTTATTTTGATAAATTTAATTTATTTTTTTCCTAAAACCGCCATTTTGGGTCTGATTAATAACAAGATGAAATATCTCTTTTCGTGAGGAATATTATCAGTTTTGAGTAAGATATTCGTAGGTGTGTAGCATAAAAGTGACAAGAATAAAGCATAATCTGAAGTGATCAATAAAGGTATATTGTAGAATGTCTATTAATAATAAAAAAATAAAAATATTTGAGTTGATTTGATTTGTGTGATTACTAAGAGTTAGTATCACAAAAACAGTATAGTACTTTGAGCAGTAAAAAAACATGTGAACATTTCCATCTTTCATACATGCCGTAGTATCTCGGGTGTTTTTGATATGTTTTAAGGAAAAATTAAAACAAAAAATTTTAAAAAAAATCGGTTTTTTTCATATTTCGATAGGTTATACTTTCATATATAGCATTCTAAAATTTTAAAGCGATATCTCAAATATTTTTGAGTTATTGGCTTCTGAAGTGTAGTCGCTCAGTTCAATCAGTTCCATCAATTTATCTTTGAACACGTTTTTCTCGTAACAGAATTTTTCGAATTTGTTGCACTATTACATTTTTTCAGAATGTTTTGTATATAGTTCTCCATACAATGACCTACCAGTTTTTTGATCTGACCAAATATATTTGTTTGGAAAGCCAAAACGACAAAATTTTTTGTACAAATGAACTTCTTTTTTTTTTTTAAATACCATTTGTCAGTTTTTGATTTTTTATCGACTATAGGTCATTGTACGGACGATATCTTTTAAAATTATAATAACATAAATTAAATAATTCTTAAAAAAATATAATATTAATACATTTTTGAATTTTAAAATATGTATTTAATGGTGTTTTTAACGAAAATCTTCAATAATTGTATATGATACATTACCGCGATTGTATTTTAAAGGGATATGCATTCATAAAGCCGACTGAGGATGTACTTTGCGGCGGAAACTTTTGAGAGATTACTCGGAATCGGAGCGGCAACAATAACTCCGACACTGGCGCAATGCGTCACGCTTCATTTGCTTACCATTACCATGCATATATCTGTGCATAAACGTGTGTGTACTAGCTGGTGAGCAATATTGCAACGTTTGCAATGGAGTTTAATATGATTTTTTCTTGCTGCAATGTAATGGCAGACAAGAGTTTCACCCACAACAAAGCAAGGCGCGTACCAATCACCGGCAACGGTTTATACACATACATACATATAGAGTTTTTTCTGCTATGTCATTGTTACTGTTGCACATAATAGACAGGGAATGAATGAATGAATGGATGGTTGTTTTACTATTGATTTCGCGATTGTACGCTCCTATTTGTTTATTGTTTTTGTTTTTCGTCTCGGTTTTATTTTTTATTTTATTTTTTGTGAAAAAACGCTTGTACGAGTCTATCCATTGACAGGCACAGCGTTTTGCCGACAAATTTATTGCCTTTTATTCGACTAAACTTCTCTCGCTTCCTAACCCCTGTCAGTCAGCCGCCCCTTGACGGCACGCTTCACTTTCTATTTTATAGCAAAACAAGCGACGGCGGCGGCAACAATTGCTGCAATGCACCCCAGTTACGGTGGGTATGTGCAACAATACATCAGCAACAATAACATCAATCGTGGCTACAGCGTTGTTACTGTGTTTATTTGCAACCGTAGTATGTATGTATGTATATGGGTATGTGAGTGTGTTTGTGTAGGTGTCATGCCGCAAAATGTAGCAACATGCAATGCATTTTTGTGAATGCTTGACTTTTGCTTTTACTATTTAAGTTGCGATTTTTTCATGTGACCTCCAACAATGCGGTAGGTCGTGAACATCTGTAAATGAAAGAAATATAAGTACAATAACAATGATTGTGGTAATTAAAAACATTAAAGGCTTTACACCACAATCGTGAGTATTTTGAAATTTGTATAGCAGTGTCCATGTCTCAAATATATGACTAAAGCTTTATCGTTACCATTAATATGATATAATTCCTCCATAATCTAGTAGGGATTGTCAAAAGGAAAGACATATAAAAATTAGTACGTTTGCATTGCAAAAGACATTCGACAGTATTTTAAGGACGTAACGTTCCTACTAGAGAAGAACTAACAATTATCAGTTTTAATATGAGGTAGCTTGGTACAATATTTTTTGTACGATGGTTTGTCTGGCGGTTTTCACCATGAAAAAAAAGAACAAAGAATTTGCTTATAATTTTATACTTCTAATGGAATCACGATTACGGAATCGTTGAAGTTGCAGAAGTTTTTGGGGAATCTACTTTATCAAGAACACAAGCATTTCAGTGGCACAAAGCATTCAGTGAAGGTCGTGAAGTAATCGAAAACTTGCCTTATATGAGTCGTTTATCTATCTCTGTTGATGACGATACATCGAAAAAGTTAAAGAAGCAGAGCTGGAAATCGTCGAGTTGGCACCTGAGAGATAAATCTCAACACCTTTTTATGGACTCATCACATTTTGGTTAATGCTTAAGGTATGAAGTGTGTCAATGTTACTACGAGTTTACCTGCAGACATGCGGTTTTTACAAAAACAACACAAAAATGCTTGAAAACTATATGCAATTATATCGCAGTATGTGCTATTGTACAATAATACTTTGTTTGAATTTAGTCACCAATTTCGCACCAATATATATAATATATCATCACTATACCGATATTTCCGATAGAATCACGATATTTTATGAGTTAGATCAAAATGTATATATTTTTATACGATTATTATTTAGTTGCATATTTGGAAAAAGAGAAGCTTTAAATGATTATTATTGTTGTATAATTTGGTCTTCATTAGGATACTGAACAAGAGCTTTCAATTCTTGCCCTTTTTATGAAATGCTGTCTAATAGCTTTCTATATATGAATCCGAGAAAAATATTTTTGGAATCTCATCTGTGTCTTTTGTATCACATGCAATAATAATAGATTATCTGTTGGAAATTATAAAAATCGTACTATAACTAAGTGGTAGGCGATTTCAAAAATACCAACGAGTCTCCCGGAGTACTCGTAGAGGGGCTCCTTTCGTATAGGTAATATTACTCCAATAAATAAGATTATAGATAGTTTTGGACTGACAGGTGATACCCGAAGTCTTCTTAGTGAAAACATAACCGTATAGCCTTGCAGTTTGTACACTTTCTACTGCTTTTCAATATCAAATAATCAGCTCAATTCGCAAAAATATTTTGCCACCTTAGTGTTGGATGAATAAGCTTGTTATATTTGTTAGCTAAAATAATATTTGTATGTATATAAGTAAACATATAAAGGTAAATACAAACGTATATATATGTAGATCTAAATACTAGGGATTGCCAGCATTTTTACTATAAAACAAGGAAACAAATAATGCAGTATGGGTATCAAAGAGAAACGTATTAAAAAATATTTAATTTAAAACAAATTTGTATTTGGCGAATAATAAAAAAAATAAATTTAATATGATTCAAAATCGGTTAAAATTAACAAAATTTGAAAAAATATATTAACGCCTTATATATTACTTATATAAATTAAGCATATTTTAGCATTAGCTTTTTAGTAGATATTTGTCGCTATGATACCAAAATTGATTGGAGAATGCAGTGTGCAATTAAATTTGAGCAAGGTGTTTAATCAGTCAAAGCGAAATTCATGCAAAAAATTGTGTTTTTTTTTGCACAGTGTTCGTTATGATTACAATTACTGCTATATTACCATCCGTAGCGAAACCTTGGACCAACACATTTTACAGCATATCGGATGTCTATAAATATTTTGTGATAGATATACCACAGACTACAGTATGTGATTTCATGCACAACGAACATTCACTTTCAAACTCAGCGAAGCATGCTAAAAAATCAAAACAAACGCTAAAATGCATTTAATATGACGCTATTGTTGTTGTTGTTGCTAATTTCATTATTGTATTGAATCATAGTGAAT